CAGGTCTGTTGCCCCACGCCCTTGGCCACGAGCCCCAGGCCTAGCCAAGTCCTGGTGTCGCAGGCGTGGGGGGGGGCAAGATCGCAACCTCAAAGTCCCAGGCCGCACAGAAAGACAGAGTCCTTGCGTCGGCAGTCTACACTTTCCGCGCTTCGCCCTGAAACCTCTACAGATTACCACGAGTTGGTTCGAAAAAGGAACGATCCTTGTACAATAAAAAACTGCTCTGGCTGTGCACAGTCAGAGGATTAAAGAACATTCCCCTGCGTGCAAATCGCGTGTGTGTCTGGAAGAATGGTATAGTTGTACCCAGGTGCGCAGTGTAGATGCGTTTTCGTGTGGGTGTAATCGGGCGCGCGCGGAAGTCAGGGAGAGGGAGGGGTAGCCAACCAATGCCCGCCTGGTCGTAGGGTAGGATAAGGCCTCTTCTTGCTGTCCTCTCCCGAAAACGGGTGTTGTGTGTATTGTGGTTGCTGGGCACGAAAGTAGGGCTCCGCACGAGACAGAAGGCATTGTTCTCATGCTAGGGAATGATCGAAACTGAGGCACAAAATCAACACGGCTTCACCGCCAACCAAATGCCCGACTGGTAGTAAACAAAAAAAGAGCACTTCCGCATAGTGCATACTGTACACACATCGCCACGTATTTCCGTCCAAAATGTCAGTATTATTTTCAAGGCCATATAGATGACATTGGTGGCATCGCGTTCTGCTGATTGCTGCCTCGTCTTCCTCTTCCGCCTCAGCGACCGGCATCGGTTTCCCACCTCAAAACACTCCGGCTGTCCCCGCAGTTGGCCACGACGATGTCTTCCGGACCAATCAGAGCCAAGACCGCGGTCGTGCCGCTCTGTACCCCGCACTTGCGCATCGAGACGTCCACGGCCATGAAGCCGTTGATGCAGCCCGTGCTCACGTCTCCTCGTCTCCACTCGTCCGTCTCCTGCGGGACGTGGAAACGAAAGTGATGACGACACGATCATGTGCCCAAGAGGGAGGAAAGAGGGAGAGTTAGAGAGAGCGAGAGAGAGAGAGAGAGAGAGAGAGAGAGAGAGAGAGAGAGAGCGAGAGAGCGAGCGAGAGAGAGAGAGAGAGAGAGAGAGAGAGAGAGAGAGAGAGAGAGAGAGAGAGAGAGAAGAGAGGAGAGGGGAGTAACTCATCTTGCGGGCCAGAGCGTAATCGTGGGGCATCCATCGATCCTTCTCCCCTTGTCAACAGCAAACTAGTTCAGCGGAGTCCTTACTACATACCTGCAACTCTCGCACTTTCCCGAAAAATCAGCATCGTCACTCATGACTCGCAGCAAATGTATCACTGGGAGAGGACCAACAGCAGAGCACTAGATCGGACGTAAAACAGCGCAAACAGCGCCGAACACGGACGAAGAGCGAACCATGTACTCCCTAGACTACTTCAAGACCAACAATTCTCGAAACAGAAATCCAACCCCGCGCGGGCGGATTGCTGACAAAAAACGCCGCCAAATCCGAAGCGGAAGCCCAGGAGAAAAAGCAACGCCAACGAGCTCCAGCGTAGCATCAGAATAAGCTGCAGTAAAGCCTTTTTCTACAGATGCATGTTCTTGGGCCACCGGCGGCTGAGACACGGAGACACTCTGGATCACCTTGATGTGTCCGATCAGCTCCTCCTGTGCGAACTGGGCCGCGTCGCCTCCGCTGTGGCCGTCGAAGACGCCCAGCGCAAGCGTGTCCTGGTAAGGCAAAAGCAAGGGCGAGGGGGTTCACCAGAACAACGAAAATATCGCGGTTTTAAAAATGTGGTCGTAGAATGTACACCATTGCTCGTACAGGTTCCTCGTACAAGACGCCAGTCGTAAAAAAAAAAAAAAAACGTGTCTGAAGGATTTCAGTCAGAAGCATCGAGACCACGCACTTTGATTGGCCGGTCCCCCGAGGCGCCAGAGATCGCCCTATCGGCTGTAATACACTGCGATACTTTTACACGCCCTCAGCAAGTTTGAGTTGTCGATTTGGTGCCTCCTGCGTTAACGCTTTGGCTCTGTGTCGGTGGTGTTCGGCCGTCTCAACAACTAAATAAACACGGACGTGCTATCTGACACCAACTCGCTACTCCGATCCCGATCAGCTTTTGTGCGTAAAAGGTAGCCCATCAGCCAACAAATCGAACCCCCGCTCAAGCTCCAACGGAATGAACACCCTCTTCGAGGGCGGGATGGCGTTGTCTACTTACTTAGTTAGCCTGCCGACGACAAGTCTGGGGCACCACCTCTCATCCGCCACGTTTCGACAGTTACAGTACGTCTATTTATTATTGCTCTTGTTGACGCGCGCGCACATGATGGGATGAAACGTAGGCGTCCGGGATGTGTGCGTGCTTGTGCGCTACTCTTGTCTTGCGTGTGCGCTCTCGTTTTTCTGCAGCACCCTTCGCAGGGTTTTCTATTTTAAGTGCACCATGTTCACCCGGGTTGCAGCCCCCCCCCCATAAACGTGTTTTTCTTTTTTTTCGTCGCAAAGCTATGATGGTGCGGGGCCCCATGCGGCCTCTTTCCCCATAATAGGGAGCAACCAGCAGTCACTCCTCAACAACGCTGGCTGTAGTTGGCGATCCAAAATTGCACCACTCTCTGACGTGTCCTCTTCACGTTGATGCCACTGAAGGCTTGTTTGAGCTACTCTACCGACGTGGACACAGCGCTCAAGTTCCAGGGGGGGTGCTGTCTGCAGAGAAATCCAAACAAAATTGGAGGTATAGACACGTCAGGCGTGTTTGCTCGACATGCAGGCGATAGAGTGCTTCACTTGAACGACCCCCGTAGTTACGATCCAAATTTGCGCCAACCCCTCGCCGCTACCTATGCCTGTGTAGTCCACTCTGGCGACGTCTCGAGCGAGTTCGTGACCTCTTCGAAGGAGGACAGTGGCGTGAAGTTTGGTGCTGAGAGCTGCGAAAACGGGCTTGAAACAGCAGCCCTTTCACTTTTCATTGTACGGTATTTGCCAGGTTTAAAGCGAAACCAGGGCAAACCAACTATCTGAGCGTGTAGAACATAACATGCTTGAGGTACCCCGCTGGTTTCACAGCACGTGGCCATCTGTGTGGGGAGCACCAGCGGTGACAAAGGTGAGCACCAGATGGTGTCACAGGGCAAGACATCATGGGGGCTCATGCGGGGTACCATCGATTTTCGCGTAGCCCTGATGAATACATATATTTTCGTTTTGTGGGAGCTGCAACCCGGGTGTGTTGGATAAAGCATGCAATCGGGGAAGTTGGGTTAGGGTTTGGGTTAGGAAATACGGTCTGCGTACCCCCTCCCTGTGCTATTTCCTCATAAACTTAGATTCTCGCCAAGCGGTCCTTTTTCGGAGGAAAGACGTTGACAAAGCTCGTTCGAACATCACGAGTGCGCCGAGCGTAGTAGCCGAAACGCCTGTTGCAGCAGTGTTACTCCGGAAGACGTGGCGGCTGCAGCCAAGGATGTAGAGCAGGGTACTGGTGCTTGGTCTGGTCTTTTCCGACCGCCCCGCCGTTCGCGGACTACTGCAGCCATCATCGATAGAAGGAATCGATGCCTTCTGGCGTTGCCTGGCGTTCTCAGCAACAGATACACCGGAGGATGATCGCAGAGGATCCGATCCCATCATCCTCCGGTGTATCTTTTGCCCAAGAACGGCAGGTAGCGCCAGAAGGCATCGATTCCTTCTATGGATGGCATCTGCAGATGTGCGCGAACGCCGGATGCGGTCGGAAAAGACCAGACTAAGCTC